GGGTACGGCCGAACCCAATAACTTGTGCTCAAATAGTGTATTTTGTATTAAGAAATTCGTTTAAGTGTGTAAAAATATTAACATTAGAAGTCATCGTTCTAAAATTCAGAACTTATAAGGCCGAAATCCTAGTTTCACCTCTGCATATAAGCCTTTTCTCTTATTGTAGATGAGAAGCGGCCATAAACTAAGAATTCTTATCCAATTTAAAAGAGCATTTAATGTAACTAAAATAACTAAGATTTGGGTTGTTCGATGGTTAGCGACTGTCAAAGAAGTGATCCCTCCCTTATGTTTCCTTTTTTTTAAAGATTAAGAGAAGGAGACAATAAGCCTGTCGATATTGAAGCATACTCTTTTAGCAGCTGTTAGGCAAGATCGTGGCAGCAAACGTACCAAATTAGCAATAAATCGATGTGTATTCTACTTTAGAAATTGGATGAAAAGGTTATCTACTACTTATAAGAAAGTTCAGTTTCAATGGAAAAGTGAAGCTTACAGTCCAAGAACAGTGGAACAAGGTTATTGTCTAAGACGGTGTTTGCCTAAGCTTATAAGCTGGTTAAACTGGCTTATAAGCACTTTTGAGCTTATCTACGTGTTTGATAAAATTAAAAGTGCTTATAAATTAAGTGCTTATAAGCCAAAAATAAGCCAAAAGCCATAAGTTAGTCTCCCCCAACTTATTAAATTTCAGCTTATAAGCACTTTAGGTTTGACTACAATATTTATTATTCTATCCCTAAAATAATTCTTTTTAAAACAAAACTCTTCGTATACCCAGTTCTTCAACTGATTATTATTAATTTCAGCACTTTTATCCAAACACGTAATAGCTTATTGTTTAAATCATCTTCAACACTTAAAAGTGCTTCGACTACCTACTCAGAACTCAATCTGATCTAAAACAGGTTAGCATTGATCTCTTGTTACCGACAAACACTTATTGGTTCTTATGCGGACGAACAATCATATAAGCAGGGGCAAAAGCCGAGCCACGGGTACGGCCGAACCCAATAACTTGTGCTCAAATAGTGTATTTTGTATTAAGAAATTCGTTTAAGTGTGTAAAAATATTAACATTAGAAGTCATCGTTCTAAAATTCAGAACTTATAAGGCCGAAATCCTAGTTTCACCTCTGCATATAAGCCTTTTCTCTTATTGTAGATGAGAAGCGGCCATAAACTAAGAATTCTTATCCAATTTAAAAGAGCATTTAATGTAACTAAAATAACTAAGATTTGGGTTGTTCGATGGTTAGCGACTGTCAAAGAAGTGATCCCTCCCTTATGTTTCCTTTTTTTTAAAGATTAAGAGAAGGAGACAATAAGCCTGTCGATATTGAAGCATACTCTTTTAGCAGCTGTTAGGCAAGATCGTGGCACCAAACGTACCAAATTAGCAATAAATCGATGTGTATTCTACTTTAGAAATTGGATGAAAAGGTTATCTACTACTTATAAGAAAGTTGAGTTTCAATGGAAAAGTGAAGCTTACAGTCCAAGAACAGTGGAACAAGGTTATTGTCTAAGACAGTGTTTGCCTAAGCTTATAAGCTGGTTAAACTGGCTTATATGCACTTTTGAACTTATCTATGTGTTTGATAAAATTAAAAGTGCTTATAAATTAAGTGCTTATAAGCCAAAAATAAGCCAAAAGCCATAAGTTGGTCTCCCCCAACTTATTAAATTTCAGCTTATAAGCACTTTAGGTTTGACTACAATATTTATTATTCTATCCCTAAAATAATTCTTTTTAAAACAAAACTCTTCGTATACCCAGTTCTTCAACTGATTATTATTAATTTCAGCACTTTTATCCAAACACGTAATAGCTTATTGTTTAAATCATCTTCAACACTTAAAAGTGCTTTTCAGCACCTAATGCTTATCGGCTACTCTAAATTACCTAAGCCAAACGGGATCTAAGTAACAAATCGTTTTTCTTTATTGTAAGTAAAAAGAACTCTACTTGTTGCACACTTATCACAAATTTCTCTTTTTCTTTTTTAGATCGTAATTTCGCAGTCTCACTTATGGATGTCTGTCTAATAAAACAAGACGAGGAGCATGACATCAAGGCCCATTAGCTCAGTTGGTTATGTGGGGTCCTTCCCATAAATTAAGGAAGAAATCTTCCTTCCTTGATTAGCAGCATCCCACGTTTCTTTCTGCATTTGTCAAATATGGCAGGCATGCAGATGAAAAATGTCAAGCGTAGTAGGCGAGGTTCTGCCTATAAAAGGAGAGCTTCGACTCTCATTTTATACACCAATCTCAGAGGAAAAATATATGTGAAAGTTAGAAAGAAAGAGTGAGGTTTCACAGACAGGGTATAATAAAATAGTCTATGAGAAAAATAGAGAGTGAGTGATATTGTAGTGAGGTGTGAATATCAAAAGAGGGTTATTTCTTTTGAGTATTGTAGTGGTCTTTTGAGTATTTTACTCGGACCTACAAAGTGTAAAATTCCTTGCTATAGTGATATCAGTTGCTCTTCTCAGGGCCGTGGTTTTTTCCCTTATTCAAAAGGGTTTTCCACGTAAAAATCTTGGTGTCGTTGTTACTCTTTTATTCTTTTTAATTACCGTATCTTGGTGCTACGTTATTATTCTGCTTTTATTACCGTGAATATTATTATTGTATGGGGTTTATTCTCAACAACTGGTATCAGAGCACAAGTTCTGCTATTCTCAACAACGAGGAAGTGGAGCACCCCACTCAGGAAGAAGAACAACATTAACCTCTGAGGAGATCAGAGAGGCCAAGGGTAGAGTCATGCAGGTACCCTTCCACAGAGTATGTCCTCATTAGTGATG